AACTTCCCCACTTGATAATGTACAAAATACTTAGAAATATTGTATTAATTCCTTGACATTTTTTAGTGTGTTCACAGTTTACAGAAATTGCTGAAGAGAAAGTGAAGACCTTTTACTAGCATGTTATTACAGAATGAAGTCATCTATTTCTGCTCCAGTTCAGTGAGATGCTTAATTTGTAATTTGAACCTGTTCTTAAAGACTTGGGTAATTTTGGATCTGGCTCACAAGTACAGGATATCTTCTTTTAATGTCTTTGAGACACTTTTTCAAAGAATAGTCATAGACCTTATATAGCACTTTTATCATAGATCTCGAAGTGTTTTGTAGTGGAGACTCATAGCAATATTTTCATTCTATGGTTTCTTTTACTCAATTTCATATGTAAATGTGCATATTTAGTTTCTCTCCAGTATGGGCTAGAATAAAAATGAGATTGTAAGGAAAAGAAGCAAAAAGAAACTACTAAGAAAAAAACCCATTAGACTTAAGACATGTGATTTGTTCTCTCAGAGTAGGTTAAGCAGGAGGAACATAGTACATCCCTTTCCAATAGGAAAGCAAACTGAGACTGACGAATGTTTAGAATTTCATTCAGTGTATTAGTAGAAGATGTGTAAATAGCAGAAGCTCAAAACAATAAACTACTACAGCTAGGTAACAACAGAGAGTGTAAGGATGATTTTTGCTTTTTTTTTTTTTTTTTTTTGTATCACTACCATTTAGTGGAGTATCTTGGTGAAACTAAGGAAGGCTTTTTCCTACTGATCAGTTGCAAGCCAGGGCTCATTAGAAAGCTGTATTTGGGTCATACATGAGGTGATGTGGGAGCATAGTGGCCTCTGCATTTGGAAGTGCTGAGCACCAATACAAGATAGCAAATATTATTTTTTTTCTGGGCAGCTGAATGAAAATTTTGCTTAGAGGTCCACAGTCAAAAAGAAAGAATGGAAATACTTGCTTTTCGGAAAGTAATAGCAAATTGTCGATTTTGCTGAACAGAAGCTGACTCACATTTTCAGTGCCATCTTCAATTTGAATTATTCCACTGCAAAATCAAACAGTGAAACAATTTAATGTGAGATGAATTTGAAAAGATTGGAATGTTTATGTAGGTGTATAACCTGAAGGTTATAAAAATGATTATTTTGATTTTGTCTTTTCTCAGAATAAAAGAAAAAGAAAAAAAGCACCAAATATTTTGAAATTGGAAATCATACAGAATGTAATTTTTAAAGGTAGTAACTATGCTGTGGAGGTCTCCAAATGTAATAAAGTTTGCACTATAGAGGCAATGAATTCTGGGATTTATTCTTTTTTGACAAGCATGTTTTTCTATATGCAATAAAACTATCTCCCAATCTGGTATTGTCCCAGTTTCATCTGGGATAGGGTTAATTTCTTCTCAGTAGCTGGTACAGAGCTGTGTTTTGGATTCAGCATGAAAATAATGTTGATAACACACTGATGTTTTGGTTGTTGCTAAGTAGTATTTATCGTAAGTCAAGGACTTTTTTTTGTGTCTCATGCTCTGCCAGTAAGGAGGGGCACAACAAAGCTGGGAGGGAGCATAGCTGGGAGGCCAAAGGGATATTCCATACCTCAGAACATCATGCCCAGTATATAAACTGGTGGAGTTTCCTGGAAAGGGGGCCAGTCTGGGTTCAGGGACAAGGTCTGGCATTGGTCAGTGGGTGGTGAGCAGTTACATTGCGCATCACTTGTTTTTCTTTGTTATTTCCTTTTGTTTCAATTATTAAATTGTTCTTATCTCAACCTACAAGTTTTACTTTTGATTCTTCTTCCCATTCCACTGGGGTTAGGGGGTGAGCAAGTAGCTGCATGGTGCTTAGTTGCCAGCTGGGCTTAAACTACAACAGGTATGTATAGTGATATGTGTAGGGAGAAAACACACAGAAGATATTCAGAAGATTGTGATAATTTATATGTAGAAGGTTATAATGAAAAGATTATATGAAAACGTTATAATGAAGTATGTTAGTGCTAGGTATGCATCTGTTCATCATTTGTTTCAATAGGAGAGGCAGGAATAAGTCAGTAAAAATACATACAAAATATTTTGTGCCACTTCACACAAGCACATCACTGAAGCAAAAAGCCTTGTACAGAAATGTGTGTGTTTTGTATAATAAGAATTTATTAAATAGATATTTTTTGGTTTAAGGGAAAAATATGCTTCAAGCAAAAACGACCTCTTGTTGGTAAGGCTTAGGAAAAAACTTCCCTGATAGGTACATTATGCATTTTTGTTTTATTTAATTTAATTTAAATTTTCTCAGTATCTCATAATGTCTGTTGTTAGAGAGAAAATTCCTGTCTAAGGCAGACCAGCAGTTTGGTTGAGTTTGGTCATACCCATTTTTCCATTAGAACTGATCTAATTTTCTGCTGGTACTGTGTGTAACTCAATTCCAAGCTAAAATGTTTTTAAAAGTAGTAGCACGTCCTTGAGCCAGGTCATTTACCTGAATTTCATAGTATAATTCATGTTACTTGGAGTCAGTATATTGCACCCAGATTGAACAGGCAATCCTCCGGAGTGGATGACAAGACTAAGCTAAAGCAATCAGCAAAACCTTGGGCCAAATACTGAGATTCCCATTAATTTTAATGAGACAAGGCTTGCATACATAGCAGTAAAGTACAGGAGTTATCAGTCTGCAAACTTTATTTTCAGTTGGTGGCGCCAGGGCAACTGACTGTTTTACTGTAATTTTATAATACACATTAAAGACAGTTCACCTATACTGTTGTTTTGGGCAGCTTTGTGGGATGTATTTGGTCATTTGTCTGAATAGCCCCAGGGTTTCTGATGCTGTCCTGTTCCCATGCTTTCAGAGCCTGTGCAATCTTACAGCCTCGGATGCTCCAGCTAGACTGCTCACTTTTACACACAGACTAAAACTGCTCACAGTTCACTCTACAGAACAATGAGATTTAAAAGCATGAATATCTGTTTGTGTATACACGTGAATATGATGATTTCTTAGCTTCTTGCTTTTAATATCCAGTTATGATATTATTGGTATGGGTTAGAAATTAATTATTTTTGGTTTATAGTGAGTATATTTGTGTAAGATATTACAGCACCATGTTATACAGACATAGTGGTAATGAGTCAGGAATTGGCACACAGTCTTCTGAATCAGGATATTAGGGGGCATTGTGTACCAGAGGTACTTTCTTTTGGCTTAACCACAGAGCTGACCATCTGTGGTCATAAAAGATCCTGGGAATATTTTTGTAATAACCTAGTTTAGTGACCAAATTTGATTATGACTAATGGCATTTGAGTGAACTTTCCCAAATTACTACTATTACCTCTCTTATAAAATATGCTTTGTCATGTTCTCATGTTGTCATATTTATATATGCAATTTTATGAATTTTAATCTGCTATTAATCATAAAAGTTCCAAACAAAAATATCATTGCAGATTGCAAACCTGGGGAACACTCACATCCCTTGTGAATATTGATCATTATAATTATGCCTGTGTGCATAAGGCAGTTCAGACACTGCCTTGAGATTATTAAAAGTTATTGTCTGCAAACAATATGACTTCTTCTGTCCCATTATACCTCTTGAGCATAAAAGTCACTAATCACACTGTTCTTCCCAAGCCTCCAAACAATGCTAAATTCAGTGATCCACTGGGATATTATCAATGCTGTAAAGAATGCTGAATACAGATAAAGATAAAGGGCCTTTTCTGTCCTCAGGAAAGAAATAACTCCCCTTCATTTCTGTTTGAATTTAAGATAAATATTGAGGTGTTTGACTAGTTGATTGAAATGTGATGTGATTTTGGTTCCTCCATTGAAGGAACTATGTTAATTCCTATATTAATTTCCTTTGAAAATTCTTGCTGGATATTTGTAGTTCACATATAGCTGATTCATACTTCTTTTTATTCTACTACATCTTAAAACAATACAAACATACCTGATGAATTTTGTAACTCTGTTGTGATATAGGGATTATATACTGACAAAACTTAACAGAGCATGCCTTCCTTGAAATAAAACAGAGGAAGATGTTTAATAACCATCTCAAAAATATTTTTCTAAGTTACCTTAGGATGGTAAATAACAAACTGGAACAGGATCTGATGCATTTCCATTACTGATATTTTTTTATCCCTTCAGCAATGCCAGTCTTATCACCTCTGTAAATCAAAACCTTTTGAATTTCTGTGATGGAAATTTGAAGTGACATTGTGAGATATCACAGACTTGTCCCATCTAGGCAGTTTAGATTCCTCTAAGAGGCTGGCAGGGTTTTTTAAGGATGGGTGAGTGTAGGTAGAAACCTAAAATTGAAAAGCTTTGCTCTCCTTTGCAGGCAACCAAAAAGAAGTAATTATTCCTTTGTATCTTCTGGCAGAGCCTAATGCCTATAATAATAAAAGTATTTTGTCTGGAAAAAAAACCCCAAAACGCACAACACCACTCCACCAGCTATTAAAGTGTCGTCTGACTGCAGGGTCTTTATATTGCTTATGGAAAGCCAAACACCTGACATCGAGCTCTTCCAGTAGCTTATTCTTGAAGCTGGGGAGAGCTGGATCCCTCACAGAGGCAGTGAACAGAGGCATTATAAAAGTAGAAACCTCATTTGTGATTGAGGAAGGTCAGCAGTGGAAGGGATGCAGCCATGGCTGGCTGCATTTACACAGTGGACTGCATGTGACACGCGAAAGTCAGGGAAGTTGTAATGTATCCCGGATTCTAGCAGAGGAAAGGATACAGGCCCCCAAATAACAGAGACAGCAGCTTAAAGCATGATGACTTAAAATGACAGGCAAAAATGGCTTCTGTGGTTATTCCCAACCACCACAGAAAACCCATGGCTTAGGTATTCAGTGAAAAAGCCACTCTCACTGACTTGGGAAAATACTGGGCAAATAGAGGACAAAGGGAAAATGTGACACATCAACAATACTATGTTATTGATATCAGTGTCTCCTTGTCCCATAGGTCTGAAGTTTGAGGAAATGCAAGAAAAGTTTGGGGAGGAGTTCTTCAATATCTGCTTTGATGAGAATGAAAGAGTTCTTCGAGCTGTAGGTGGGACCCTTCAAGACTTCTTCAATGGCTTTGATGCTTTGCTGGAGCATATTAGAACTTCATTTGGAAGACAGGCCACCCTGGAATCCCCTTCTTTCCTATGCAAAGAACTCCCTGAAGGCAATCTCATGCTTCATTACTTTCACCCACATCAGATTGTGGGATTTGCAATGACAGGAATGATAAAAGCAGCAGCAAAGAAGATTTACCACTTGGAAGTGGAAGTAGAACAGGTCACAAATGATAAGTTGTGTTCAGAGGGGACAAACCCAGGTAACTGCAGTTGTCTGACTTTCCTTATCAAAGAACATGAAAATGCAAACATCACAAAAGCACTTCCTCCAGGAACTTCCCAGTCCCCCTTAGACCTGAGGATTAGCATCAGCACCTTCTGCAGAGCTTTCCCCTTTCACCTGATGTTTGATCCAAACATGCTGGTTCTCCAGCTTGGAGAAGGTCTTAGGAAGCAGCTCAGATGTGACACTCATAAAACCCTGAAATTCCAAGACTGCTTCGACATAGTTTCTCCTAAAATCAGTGCCACATTTGAACGAGTTCTCCTGAGATTATCTACTCCCTTTGTCATTCGGACCAAACTTGAAGATTCCGACTCTGAAAGTAAAGATAAGGTAAGAACATTAATTTGCAAGGGAATGTGCTTATATGTGCGTGATGGGAGAGGATTATTTACTCAGAGAAAAGCAGCTCAAATCCTGTGCACTTAGAAAGCTCGCTCACACCTTGCAAACAGGGGCTAAGTGATATTCCCCAGCCAAGTGAATATTTTCCTAAATTATTTATAAACTTTGCCTGTGATATTGTAGCAAACTGTGGCATTGCCATTCAGAAAATTCCACACTGTGGAGTTGAATAGTGCTGCTTAAATCAAAAGGATGAGGAATTTTAGAAAATACCTATAGGTAATCCTTTATTCCACTCCAGCTATATTATGGTAACAATAGTAGGTTTTAAGCCATTTACTAGGGAGTAGCTTTTTGTAGTTTTTTTTGAAAGATTTTCACTGCAGGGGTATCATTGCCGCTTTATTATATCTTATTTTCCTGTTTTGGAATGCTGCTTTCCTATATGTTTCTTCTTACCTCTCACCCTGCACTCAAGTAAACAAGAGCTGTAAGTGGTACAGAATATCACTTATGCCAGTTTTAATGCTTTTCAGTCATTTAAATAGGCACTTGTCCTCCTACACTGCCTTTTCACCTCAGTGTTGTAGGAGACAGCTGCCTTAACTAGTGAGCCCTGTGTTGAGTTCAGTGCACTCCAGGTGAATAAGCTGAGAATGTGTCTTTGGAGTGTACTTCTCCAAAGGTTGGATGGAGTTTGTCTCATTGCCTATCCTTGAATTACAGGAATACTTTTTGGTGTGAATTTGGGTTCCAGCTTTTAAGCACCAAGCTACATAATGCTAACACTAAGGCTTGCTTAAGGCTTGAAAGCCTGTGTGTGGATGCCTTGGAGACACTGCTGCTGTAATTGAATGAATTATTGATTTCCAGGGGTTTTAAGAGAGAGCCCCCGAGAATACTCATTTCAATCCCCCTAGACACCTAAGTTTTGCCTATGGGTGCAACGTTGACCGTTTAGGTGATCTGGATACAGCTTGAGAAACTCTAGCCCAGTTTTGCTGCCTGCACTGGGCCAGCATTTCAGAAAAACTCCTGTGGTAATTGCATATTGAGTTCTGGGCTCTTTTCAGTTCACCAAGGTGATAGCCCCAGTGCAGGCACATCCCACAGGGCAGCAGAGGGTTGCAGTTGAGCCAGATGAACCCCAGGGGAGTGCCAGAACCACCAGGAGCCGGCAGCTTTCACCAGGTAGGGCCAGGAGTAGCAGCAGCCACCCCCTACTCCCTAAAGACAGCCCTAGGGGATGTGAGACCTCATAGCCTCATCTAGTACATAGAGGGGACCTACAAGAAAGCTGGAGAGGGACTTTTCACAAGGACCTGTAGTGAAAGGGGTAAAGGGGGGACCTGTAGGTAAAGGGGGCTTTAAACTGAAAGAGGGTAGGTTTAGATTTCCCTATTTAATTGCAAGTTAAACACAATATATTCTCCTAGCTGGGCAGGTTTCATATTTTTGTGGCTTGCTCTTAGGAAAAGTGGCAGGAGTGGAGCTTGCTAGTGGCAGAGTTTAGCAGCCAGTGTGGGAAGCAACTTTCACTTGAAGAGTTTGTTCTGTACCATCAAGCAATGCAGTTCTGAGCGCATCCTTGTGTTGTTGCTGTGGTTTGTACCATGTGTCATTGCAGGTGGGTAATGAATCAAATCAGTGATGGGTCCACTTACTTGGGAGAGTGACTCTCTGTATCTTAAAGTCGGGTAGAGCGAGACCCTGGACAGCAAGTATCAGTACTGGCACCATAGAAGCAGGTAAAAGGGGATGGCAGTAAAAGAAATCCTTTCTCTGCCAGCAGTTAGGAGACAAATTGTGTCTTGAAGAGCAAGGTGTAAATGAAAAAGATAAAGGTGATGGTGAGGTGCAGGGGAGCTAAGGTAAGTGAGTGTTGTACTGCAGGCACAGGAATTAATTTGAGAACATCAGTTTAGCTAAGAGCTATTTTCTTCTGCCTCAGCCATTTTATAAGCACTTTACAGAAGTTTTTGTTTGCATAGAGTTATAAAAACGGTCAGCATGTGATGCATTTTGATAGGTATTACCTTTTTTTCAAAAAAATGAAAGGTTTCACAGTTTTGGAACCTGTGGTTGTCTTGCTTACGTAGATTTTGAGAGAAGAGACACAGCAATACCGTTTATGTCATGCTCAAGTCCTTTATGGATAAAAAAGTAGACTGAGCCTTAGGAACTGCATGCTGTATTATTTTCCCATAGCTCACATCACTCACGTAGCTTGTTTAGGAGTTCTTTCCAATTTGCAAACACTTGTTTGGAAGTTGAATATTAGGCAGGTAGATCAGTGGCTGTAAGCATGACGCTGCTTAAAAGTCATGAGTAAATGACTTAGGTATTTACCTATTTACCTATTTCTCTGTGACACACCTCCATTCAGTTCACACTGGAATTGCATACCACTTATAGCTGTTTGTCTCTCTTTTCTTTTAGAGAATTCAGGCTTTGCAATAACCAACACTTTTCAGACTTGGTTACCTTAAATGACAGTTGTAGGCATGTGACTCAGACAGATCTGCTGCAGTTTTGAAGCTGTTCAGATAGCTTAGTGTTTCCTCAAAAAAAAAAAAAAAAGAAGAAAAAAAAAAGGCTTTGCAATGAACAGAAGACCTTTCAGCCTCTCTTCAAAAGACTTTTATCTTAATTTCAATACATAAATTACATAGTTTTTTCAGATTTGCAGTGAGAAAGATTGGCACCAGCTCTGTGTTAAGATGAAAGTAAGTCACAGATCACGATCTTTCCCTAGCTAAACACCCATAAGCAAAATGAAAAATCCCACCTGTCCTGACTTTCAGGGTGCTTAGTGCTTGTCCTATTAATTTAAAGGCTTTTTTGTGTGCTTCAATTTACTGGTATTTGAATCACTGGATTATATATATATATATAATATAGCATTATATAAATAACGCTATCCTAAATTTCTGATGTAAGGCCTGTGAGGTCTGGGTGATAGGTGGCACTTCCTGTGGAGCTGTACATACATACCTTTGCAGAAGCCCAGCCTCATGTATTAATATCCCAGCAAAGTTTTGTTAATTTGATAGTTTTGTTAATTTGATATGTCACCAGCTATTTCTCAGAGCTCAGAGCATTTACAGGACCCCCGTATTCTAGGGACCAAACAGGAGGAAAGAACTCCCCACCTGAAGAATATGGAAACCTAGCTTTAATTCCAATTTTCAACACTATCTGTACTTCTGAGTCATAATTCTAATGTTTTAGTGTTTGCTTGGCTGATATGTCAGTCTCCATTATACAATAAACACATGTGGACAATGTATTCCACTAAGTACTAACTTTAACTGTACTTATAAGTTTACAGTTAAACCCACTTGTAAGCCTGTGGATAATCAAAGTCTACAAAGTAATCTAGAGTAAGACAGGATGTGATGATTTGCTTCCATCCTTTCTTCCCTCCATCCTTCTGTCCTTCAGTTTTATTTTCTGCAGTGATCAAGTTACCCGCACTGCTGCTTTGGGTTTTTCTCTTGATTATTCTGCATGTTGAAAATTTTCTATATGAACAATAATGACTGTCTTTAGATCAGGATTCCTAGTAAAGAGGTATTTAGATGTATAAAAACTTAATTTCTGAGGTTTCCCATTTTTTCATGCAGCTAAATTGTAATTGTTTGTTGTTTATAGTATGGTATTACCCAGATGCTGACTGTTGTTTTTCACATTTCAGACTAGTTTTTATTTAGGGTTTTTTTTGTGCTTTTAACTGGAGAGCTTCACTAGCATCTGGTCAGATTTTCCAAATTTTGGGTATTATCCTTAAATAACAAGGTCACAAATGTTGCTATTCACCTCCCTAAGGAAACTCATTCTAAACCTCCCTCTCTGGGAGCAATTATTTATTGCAACAATGAAAAATACATTTATTGAGACAGTTAACCGTTTGGGATTGATAGCTTATAGCCTCACACATATTTAACACAACAGTACTTCTCAGTAGTTCAAAGAATGTTAGTGGAATCACATATGGAATAAGAAATAATTTAAACTGAGAGGACTAGGTCTGAACTCATCCGATGGAGTGTTCTCAAATCCATGTCAAGCCCATCCACTGAGGTTTCCTTCCCATGAAGGCAGTGACATGTGAGAGAGTTGATAACCCAGCAGTAAGCTGGGCATGTAACAGGAGTAGAGTTTGGTGTCCCTCCCACCATGACCAGACAAGGGCTGGAAGCACCTGTTAGGTACTTCCTGTGTGCAGTCGTTTTCTGACTAAAATAATGAGCAAGGCCATCTGTGACACGTTATAAATACTCGTCTCCTTGACAGTGCAGTGAGATGGCTGGAATTGCTTCAATTTTTAGCTGAATGGTAATACAAGGAATGACTCTCCTGGTATGCTGCTTCTGGCTAACGTCCTCCTCACGTGCCGCTCCTGTGCCATAAGTGCTGGGTAGATTGAGAGGAGGTGGGGATGCCCCACCTGTGGGGAGACCCACAGTCCCTGAGGCTTCGATCCAGGCTCAGTCCTCTTGGTGAGGACTTGAGTGACAGGATGAGCCCTAGTAACATGGGTTTGTGGGCATCTTTCTGAAACTGTGACTTGGCATGCACTTGGTAAGAAAGTTGAAAGTGAATCGTGAAAGAAACTATTTGGTTCCCTGCCAGATACTGTGCAGCTGTATTTTCTTTGTGTTGTTGCTCTTCTGCTCAAACTAACAGCCCTTTTCCACCTTTGAAATAAATCAGTTTTTATAAGGATACTCACTGGTCTTTGACTTAGGCCTGTGAACACTTTTGGACCTTGTCTAAGAATAAAACTGGCACCTAAAACTGCATTATTGGAGGTATCCAGACTTTATTTCTGATGGAATGTATTGATGTTGAATATGGCATTTTATTAAAATCATAACTTCCCAGTTAACAGTTCAGCAAAATGTGTTCTGGCAAAAAATTTACTTTGTTTATGTAGGTGAGTCAAAATGTTTTGTTCTATAATTTTAGATATAAAATACTTCTTA